GGGAGGCAGCCCTGGGGCCAGTGGCTGGTCTGGTGTGGCAGGCAGAAGCCGGACGGGGGTCTGCCTCGTAAGCAGGGCTGGGCTGTGGGTCACTCACAGAGCTGGACCATCCCGGCGGCTCTCTCTCTGTTTCTGCGTTGGTGTGGACCCCGTCTTTGGTCTCTGGTCTCTGCCGCCTAGGGCTGCTTACTCGGTCGGCGGCGCGGCTCGGGCGCTCTCAGGAATCTTCTTTTGTGTCAGCCCTAAACTTCGAGTCTGTAGTTGCTTTTTTTATAGTTGTAGTTTAGTTGTTCAAAGACTTATTCATTTTTTGTTGCTCTTGGAAATGCAGATAGCACTCTGGCAGCTCAGCGCACACTTCTCAGGCTCACGCTGTCTTCTGGCGCCCCTCTCCAGACCTGTCGCCATCTTGGAATCCACATTATTTTAAATATAAACACTTCCTAGGATGTATTAATATCTGTTAGACTCCCATCATAACTGTTTATTTTCATTGTTTTCCTGGCTATTCTTACATGTTTATTTTTCTTATGAACTTTAGTATCAACTTGTCTAGCTTCATAAAAAATCTTATTGTTATTTTTATTGGGATCACATTAAATTTATAAGTCAACTTAGGGGAGAACAGATGATGTCGAGACATCGTAACCAAGAATGAGGGATGTCTTTTAATTTGTTCTAATCTACTCTTATGCCTTTCAGTAACGTTTTATGTGTGTTTGTATTAGTTTTGAGTGTTTTTTAAATGCTTATTCCTAAATATTTTATTTTTTTGTTGCTATTATAGATGTTTTTTAATCCATTATATCTTCTAATTGGTTATTATTCATCTATGTGAATATTAATTTTTATATTAATTATATATTCTACCTTCCTGAATTATTTTCCTGATATTAGTTTTATCATTGATTCTTTAGGGTTTTCAGGTATATGATCATGTCATCTGAAAATAAGACAGTTTTGTCTTTTCCAATTCCTATTCCTCTGTTTTCTCTTATCTGATTGCATTGGCTAATATCTCCCAAATAATGTTAAATAATAGTGGAGATAGTGGCATCCTTGCATTATTTCTGACCTTAATGAGAATGCCTCTCAGGGTACTCTATTAAGTAATGTGCTGGTATTAGGATTAAGGTATATATGTTTACGTTATGGAAGTATGCATTCATTCCTATTTTGTCAAGAATTTTTTTTTTTTCCGTTTTGTCTTTTTTACTGACCGGTAACGGGATCACAACCCTCGGTGTTGCGCCCGTACCGGGGACCGGCAACGGGATCGCAACCCTCGGTGTCGCGCCCGCACCACGCTCAGTGAGCGGGAACCAGTGTCGCGCCCGCACCGCGCCCAGTGAGCGGGAACCGGTCTCCACATGGGATCCGAACCCTCAGTGGGAGCGCCGCCGCGCTCCCAAGCAGCGCACTCTCCAGTGCGCCACCGGGCCGGCCCTTGTCAAGAATTTTTGTTAGGGCTAGGTAATGGATCTTGTCAAAGGCTTTCAACATTTTGGATATAATTTTTCTCCTTAAACTCATTAATATGATGGATTATATTAATCAATTTTCTAATGTTGAACCATCTTTGCTTTCTTGGTATAAATCTCATTTCATCATGGTATATTATTTTCTTAATATAGTGTTGGAGTCTTGTTAGCTAATGTATTACATAGAACTTTTATATCAATATTCATAAATGATTTCAGTCTGTAATTTTTCTTTCTGTACATGTATACTGTCTTTATTAGGTTTAGGTATTATTGTTTCATAAAAAAATTATAGATTTTCTTTCACTTTCCATGCTCTGAAACAGTATATATAGATTTGGTACTATCTGATCTCAATTCTCCATGGTTTCTTTGCATTTCTGCAAATCTTGCAAGTTAGGACTAAGTGCCCTTAGTTTCCTATTATCCCAGCTTTGTTCCCTTTATGTAGTACAAGATATCTTCCAGCCTTAGAAGAGACAGTGTCTTACTCCAAAGTAAAAGACAAGTTTCTTTACAGCTGTAGAAAATACAGATAGTGCTACCTCTGTATCAAAAAGTAAACATTCTTACTGTCCAGTATAATAATGTTTCCTTCAGAACAAAGGAAAGGCATGCTTACCCCCCACTGTAAAATACTCACGTTTCATACCTCAGGGTGTAAATCCTGTAATGCAACCTACCACGGATCCAGGCTGTCTTAATCTGGCTCTCTTTACGTTCTCCTATGGGAGTTAGGTCTCAGGAAACTGGCCTCAAAATGGTGATATTCTGGCTCTTGCTATTGCTGTGAGTAATTAACTGTCTTTCATCTCTGACCCAGGAGACTCATGTTTTCTACCAGCTTCCATGAAATTATGGCAGGTTAATTTGTTAGCTGCAAGTAGAATAAAATCTTACACCCTTCACACTTCTTGACACTGGTCTTCAAAGTTGTGGTAAAATTCCCCTAGAAACCATTTTATGAAGTAGTTCCTGGATAGTGTTCTTCATTTCTTCTATGGAAATCAGTTTATTCAAGTATTTTTTTGTTTTGTTTTGTTTTGTTTTGTTTAATCTTTACTGTTTACTCTAAAAAAAATTTTATGTGCTTATTTGCTTGGAGCAGAGCTATGGGATCTCTCTAATGACCTGCAATTTACATTGCTTTTTGTTTTCTTTTGGGGTCTTCTTGCTTATCTTTCATGAAGAACCATTATTGTCGTTTTAAGTAACTATAGTACCTTCTTAGCTTGCACTAAAAGAAAAAGTATGCTTAGCAACTAAAGTTATAAGAATGAATGTTCTTTCTGAGTTTGCTTTTTATAGGCAGTGATTATATAGTCATTATAAAGGTGAATGTTCTGTTTGTTTTTTTACAGGTGGTGGTTGTACAGGCTATTAGTGCTCTCTGTCAGAAATACCCTCGAAAGCACAGCGTAATGATGACTTTCCTTTCCAACATGCTCCGAGATGATGTAGGTAGACTATTTTTTAATCATAGGAAGTTTCTCTCTTAACTCCTTGTGATTGCCATTAAATACCATAGTGTTTTAAGTGATTTCTTTATCAGCTCAGTCCTCTGAAGTAGTATACTTAATTCTAGTTGCTATCTTATCATTCCTAAACATGTGCTATTGCTTTGCTTTCCCAGTTAGAAGGAGAAACACTTATTTTTTTTCATAAAGGGAGGGAAATAAAATTTAAATATTACAAGCTTGACCCTTGACATATAAACATTTCTCCCAAATGAGTCCTTAGAATAATGACAGTTTTATGTTCTTTTTCGCCAGGGAGGCTTTGAGTACAAGCGGGCCATTGTGGACTGCATAATCAGCATTGTGGAGGAGAACCCTGAGAGTAAAGAAGCAGGTCTAGCCCACCTCTGTGAATTCATTGAGGACTGTGAACACACTGTTCTGGCTACTAAAATTCTACACTTGTTGGGCAAAGAGGGCCCCAGAACGCCTGTCCCCTCCAAGTATATACGCTTTATTTTTAATAGGGTCGTCCTAGAGAATGAGGCTGTCAGAGCTGGTAAGTCATTGGAACACTGATAATGATATAACTGCAGGTCTTTTGAAATACTTAAGAGGGTGATAATGAAATTGGAAAATAAAGTTGCAAGATCTACTTGACGGTGAGATCTTGGAGCATACTTATGGCCCAGGTATATGTCTTTTTCTTGGTACTCCAGTTTCCATCCTAATTTTTGCCTTAGCTTAAAGACAAATAACCCTTGACTTTCAGTGTGTTAGGAATACTATGATGGCTTATCATATGAATGTATGTTGAATTTGTGTGTGTGTCTATAAAGTGACTCTCCTCTCTAATCATTCCTATCCCTTAGCATATGAACAGGTCCAAATCTCTCCTGTTAAAAATGTAAACCCTCTTATAATCCTCCCTCTCACTAGCTACTAACTCTATACTTTCCTTCCCCTCTGAAATAAACTTGAAATAGCCATTACAAGCTGCCTTCATGAACTTATTTGCCATTTTCTCTTCAACTCGATATAATCTGTCTCCCTTAAAAATCCTCTGAAGCTGTTTTTTTTTTTAGCTGCTTATAAACTAGTTGGAAAATCAAATTAGACACTTTAATGTTCTTATCTTTGTCCACCACTCAATTGGAGTACTATTGACTAAACACTTCATGAAACCCTCTCTTCCCTTGGTTTTCATAATAGCCTACATTTTTCTGTCACTCCTCAGTCTTATTTATAGAGCTTCTCTTCCTAGGCCCATTCCTTAAAATATTAGTTCTCCTTAGGGTTTTGTCTTCTCAATGTACATATTCTTCCTGGTGATCATTTTCGGACCTCTGCTGATGGGCTTTGACTTTCCAGTCCTGTCTCTTTCCTGAACTTATGTGTCCAGCTACTTAAGGTACTTCAAATTCAACCTGGAATTCAAATTATCCCAAAACTGAAATCCTCACCTTTATCGTTTGCTCCATTGTGAAGACAGAAATTTATTCCACTGTTTTACAACTCCGTCTAATCTTTAGCAAAGTTCTGTCAATTCTGTCTCCATGATATTTCTTCATTTTCTTTTTTATTTTCATGGATGCTGATTTAGACTCTCATCCATTTCACATGCCTAACTAGTCTAACTGCTTCTAGTCTTACACATGTCCAATCCTTCACATTCTGCTAAAAAATGATCTTTCAAATACATAAATTTATACTGTATTTAATATCCTTTAATAGTAACTTTGAGGGTAGACAATAGCCTATTTTTGTTTTACTTATAGGCTCTTGCTTGCCTCCTCTTGCTCTCAACACAGGCCCTGTGCTCAGCCTTGCTCAACTGTGTGCAGTAATGTACCATGCTTTCTTTCGTGGACAGAGGGCATTTGTACTTGTTATTCTCTCTGCCTCTAATACTCTTAATACTTTTTCTACCTTTTCCCTCTGGCTAACTCTACTTGTTCTTCAAAATTTAGCTCAAGTAATGTGTCAACTCCTTATCTTACTTCACCACCACCAATTCTCATTTAAGTTCCCTTCTCTGCACTCATATAGTATCCTGGTTATAATGCTCCCATGGGCTTGCTATGCTATGGTGTAATTATCTCTTTACTTACCTGTGTATCCCACTAGAGTATAACTCTTTAAGGTCAGGGACCATGTCTTTTATTTTTCTACCCCCAGCACATAGCTCAATTCCTGATAAAAGTTAGGTGAGCAATGTATCTTTGTTGAATGGAAAGAATTTTAATAATGGAGTTGTTTTTATGCTTGAGGGTGGTTGTTTGAGATTAGAGCTCAATAACCTGTATCATATCAGTGTGATATATAAAGGGTTATGGTGAGTGGATATATAGCACATACCAAAAATATATGATTATTTTTCCATGCATGGAGGATTTTTCTATTCAGAGCTCTCTTGGGCCTGCAGAATTCTATTTATGCTGAAATGTATCAAAGAAATAAGATCAAGAAACCCTCAATAAAATAGGAGAGTTTATATCCACTGAACATGGGGACACTTCTTTCTCTGAATGACTGTTGATTAACTATGAGAAACCAAATGTTTATGTTGTTTCATTCTGTGCTTCATTATAGCTGCTGTGAGTGCTTTAGCTAAATTTGGGGCTCAGAATGAGAGTCTTCTCCCAAGCATCCTTGTTCTCTTACAAAGGTAAGTAAAAGAATGTCTTTTAAAAAAAAATAAGAAGAATGCCATATAGCTAAATAGCAGAATTCTTTTTTTTTTTTTTTTGTCTTTTGTCTTTTTCCGTGTCCGGCAACGGGATCGCAACCTGTTTCATTCTGTGCTTCATTATAGCTGCTGTGAGTGCTTTAGCTAAATTTGGGGCTCAGAATGAGAGTCTTCTCCCAAGCATCCTTGTTCTCTTACAAAGGTAAGTAAAAGAATGTCTTTTAAAAAAAAATAAGAAGAATGCCATATAGCTAAATAGCAGAATTCTTTTTTTTTTTTTTTTGTTTTTTGTCTTTTTCCGGGTCCGGCAACGGGATCGCAACCCTCGGTGTTGCTCCCGCGCCTCGCTCAGCCAGTGAGCGGGAACCGGTCTGTATGTGGGATCCGAACCCTCGGGCGGGAGCACCGCCACGCTTCCCAAGCGGCGCACTATCCAGTGCGCCACCGGGCAGGCCCAAAATAGCAGAATTCTCATTACACCGTATTAGATGCATTGCAGGGCCAGAGAATAGAGCTGAGCAAGTCAGAGGCAAATGGCATTTTTTTTCTTTCTAGTGATTATGTATGTGCTAGGTACATGGAAATTTCAACTTGGTTTTCTCTTGTATGATTTTGAGAAATTACTTAAATATGTACACCTCAATTTGTACAATGGGGGCTAACTTCAAAGAGATCTTAGGCAATTTACTATGCAGAGTTGAAAATATTAGCTTTTCATGGTGTCCATGATGCCCTATTTGATAAGGAAAAGATTTGCTTTAGCAAACACTCTGTGATTGCATCTTGTAATTGAAGCAGATAAATTGTAAGACAAAGGCTGGCTGGTTTAAATAAAACAAATTGCCATTTGAGTAATAACAATGCCTGGATTCTGAATGCTATTTATCTTTTTAGTATCCTTGGAAAGTATAATATTCCCATTTTTTAATTATAGAAAAGTCTAAGTTTTCATGAGGGTAATGTAATAGTAGATCCAAAAATAGACTCCAAACTGCTGTCTTGTTATTGTGTTCTTCCTACTTATTTTAATACCTATTTATGTAGTGCTTCTGATTCATAACGATGTTTCTTTAGGAATTCAGAACAGTACCCAAGATTTGTGGAGACTTTAGGAGCCACTTTTGGCTATTTTTGAACTCTTTTATAAAGGTGGTATCAGATGACCTAAGTTGTGTCCTTTAGGTGTGGTGGTAAAGCTATTGGAAACCTTTGGGGTACTGTGACATGCCTATTCTGTTTCCCCTGGACAGGTGTATGATGGATACTGATGATGAGGTACGGGACAGAGCTACCTTCTATCTGAATGTTCTGCAGCAGAGGCAGATGGCACTGAATGCCACGTATATCTTCAATGGTCAGTGAAAGCCAAGAACGTAGATGAATACACCCTTGTTCCCTAAATGGTGTTTTGGAAGCATATTTGATCATGATTTGCATATGAGCTCACTGCAGTAGTCAAATTCTTGGTTTTTTTCTTTGAATGCGCTTCTATTTCCAGGGAAACCTCTGTTCACAAGATATTTTCTAATTTGGTAATGGTAATTCCTATGAAACAATCTATAAGAGTATATTTCTTAAAGTATATAAGGGCCTAAAGACTATTGCTTATTCCTGTTTCTCCTTTAACTCCCTCTTAAATGAATTTACCTTTTTTCCCTTTTCTTATGCTGTCATTTCTCCCACATGGCTAAGTTGCTTTCTTTTCTGGGAGGTACTTATATATTGTTGAAAATTTTTATTCTCTGCTCCCATGTTTCCTTGAAGGAAATAAGGTAGTTTATAAATTTATAAGACAGTTTTATATAATAGACTTTATTTTTAATTATTTAGGTTATAAAGTCTGTGATTATATTTTTCTCTTCCTTCAGAAAGTTTAAATAAATATTACAGTTCTGGGCCTCTCTGATCCTGGAATTGGCAAGAGGTTATACTGCTGAGATTTCTCTCTCTCTGTTTCACAGGTCTAACAGTCTCTGTACCAGGGATGGAAAAAGCCTTACACCAGTACACGCTGGAGCCTTCAGAAAAACCCTTTGACATGAAGTCAATTCCTCTTGCCATGGCTCCTGTCTTTGAACAGAAAGCAGGTGATGGGAACAGTTAACTTTTCTGTGTACAAGTAGTTTTGCAAAATTAGTAAATATTACCATGTTTTCTAAACTAGAAAATTTAGAAAACTAGAAAATTTGGAAACTGGAAAATAGCATATTTTCTGTAATACTTGTTTTGTTTGTTTGTTTTGGGGTTTTTTTGGTGGCTGGCTGATAAGGAGATCCAAATCCTTGACCTTGGTATTACAAGACTGCACTCTAACCAACTGAGTTAACTGGCTGGCCCTCTAATACTTGTTTTGTTTGTTTAATTGTCACTCCTTATTTCTAAATCTTTTAGATCTAAGATAGATGATTTTTTTATTAGGGTTTTTAAAAAATCCTCCTGGTTTTTGTATAAAAGCAGGAATATGAAATGTGTCCCAAGATGAAAGTTTTTTCTTTTTTTTTTTTAATGCAAAGTTTTACACAGCATTTGAAGTTAGTTGCCACTGTGTAACTCATAGCAGTAATACTGCTGTCAGCTCATATTTTTATTTCCTGAAGTTGGAAATAAAAGTTAATTAATTTTACTATTGCAGGGGTTTTTTTTGTTGTTTTTTTCTTTGTTTTTTGGTGGCTGGCTGACATAGGGAACCAAACCCTTGACCTTGGCATTACAAGGCTTGCACTCTAACCAACTGAGTAACTGGCCAGCCAAAGTTATTTATTTATTTATTTATTTTTGGTGGCTGGCGGGTTCGTGGATCTGAACCCGTGATCGTGGCGTTGTCAACACCACGTTCTAACCAACTGAGCGAACTGGCCAGCCCCACTAGCGGAGGTTTGTCTTGAAAGAATGCATGGAACAAGATCATAAAATATTTCCAAAGAATATCTAACTTTAAAACTCAAAAAAAGAAAGAGAAAGGAAGAAAGTATTTACTTGTTATAACACAGAACTGGGAATGAAAGATCATATGCTTAATTTTCAACATTTTCAGTTTTTCTGTTGATATACAGTGATTTTTCGCATGTCAATCATGAGGTTTATTTTATAAATTGTTCCTCCTTTTATGAATTTTTTTTTTTGTACATCCCAGTCCATTTAAAGCAAATTCTGTATTTTTAGGGGCTTGCTTTATTACTTCACAACATACATTCACTAAGTACATTTTAATTTGAGAGCCGTCCCCCACCAAAAAGGTGACAGAGAACCTATTGGTATTATTTAGCAATAGCTCATTCTACATATTCTAGACGTTTCTGCCCTCATCTTCTGTCTGCATTGTTAGCTTGATAGTGATTGCTTATATCTGTCTTGGTAGAAATCACACTTGTTGCTACTAAGCCAGAGAAGTTGGCTCCTTCCAGGCAAGACATTTTCCAAGGTAAGATGATTTGATTGATTAAAGTAATAATCTTTGCCCGTAGGCATTGTAAATAAAGTAAAGTCCACTACTTTTATTCAAGTTGATTAATTCTCAGTATAGGAAATCATTGTATGCCTGAAGATCATACAGTTATAGTTGCTGGGGCTACCCAGAGTCAATAGAACTTTTCAATTTCCAGTTGCCACCTTACCAACTGTGAATGTTGTTCTTATCTTTATCTTGTTGGTTAACGGAGAACTCAAATCTTAAGAAATTGGGAATTTAGTTTTTTTTTTTTGCTTTTAGTAATTCAGTATATAAATTCACTTAACTTAGATTATTTCACTAAAGCTTGGGGACATTAGTTGAGTGTTTGATTAATAGTAAGGTTATGGAAACTAAAACATTTTAGGCATTTGGAGTAAATTCTTTCCCTGCCTTCTTCATATCTTACTTCCTTCCTTCTCTTCTTTCCTTTTTTCTTGATAGAACAATTGGCTGCCATTCCTGAGTTTATGGATATAGGACCCTTGTTCAAATCTTCTGAGCCCGTTCAACTTACAGAAGCAGAGACAGAATATTTTGTTCGATGTATCAAGCACATGTTTACCAATCACATAGTGTTCCAGGTGAGATAAGTACTCTTGGTTCCTGTAGGAACTTAGTATAAACTGCACTGCTTTGAGACAAATGCCAGTTTCCCTTTTAGCTTATGATTCTAGTGCTTTTTATAGAGAATTAATTTGGCAGCATTTCTGGTTTTCTTTCTGAATACCAGCACTATAGAGATCCTCTCATTTGACTTGTAACTTTTGATTGTTAAAATCTGGGCCGGCCCGGTGGCGCACTCGGTAGCGCGGTGGCGCTCCCGCCGAGGTTCGGATCCCATATAGAGACCGGTCCACTCTCTGGTTGAGCATGGTGCAGGTGCGACACCGAGGGTTGCGATCCCATTGCCGGTCACGGTACGGGCGCAACACCGAGGGTTGCGATCCCGTTACTGGTCACGAATAAAGACAAAAAGGAAAAAAAAAAAATCTAAAAGGACATAAAACTGAAATGTCTGAAGAAGTTGAACAACACAAAGTATAACTTATTTAAAAACATCATTTAACATAAGGGTAAATTAAGTGGTTTATTCAGAGAATGCAGATTTGAAAGCCATCAGACTTCTACCATCTTGTTTGGTAGAGCTCAATCTCAGGAAAGAGAAAAAACTGATGAATAATATAAACAAAAAGACCTCAGGAATAAAGCTGTTCCTGTTGCCTAAAGAAAAATCTTTGGAGAAGACTCAATGCTGCTTAGAGAGGGAAGGTCGTGGGTTATGAGTGGGAAGAAACAACTTGCTTGAAAACACTTCTTATCTTTCACAACTTTTCCATTTGCTGACTTTTCAGTTTGACTGTACCAATACTCTCAATGACCAGCTACTGGAGAAAGTGACAGTGCAGATGGAACCATCAGATTCCTGTGAAGTGCTATGTTGTATCCCAGCCCCTAGCCTCACTTATAATCAACCAGGAATATGTTATACTCTTGTTCGTTTGCCCAATGATGACCCTACAGCAGGTAATAACAACAGAAGGGAGGGAATACTTATGTGGTTAAGAATGCTCTTACACTGGGCCGGCCCGGTGGCGCACTGGATAGTGCGCCGCTTGGGAAGCGTGGTGGCGCTCCCGCCCGAGGGTTCGGATCCCATGTGCGGACCGGTTCCCGCTCACTGGCTGAGCGAGGCACGGGAGCAACGCCAAGGGTTGCGATCCCGTTGCCGGACACGGAAAAAGACAAAAAAAAAAAAAAAAAGAATGCTCTTACAGAATGGGGACAAATGTTCAGGGTTGTAGAATATTCTTCTTTTTCAGAATTTAATGATAATTTTATATATATATATATATATATATATATGTATGTATGTATATATGTATATATAAAATTGGTTACTGCTGTGGAAATAATAATTTTAAAACTGTCTCAGAGTAAAATTTGCCAGACATTTAATCTCAAAAGAGAAACTGAATGTATACAGTGGTAGCCCAAAAAGGAACTCAGGCTTTCTGTTGGAACACTGTAACCTCTAGTGAGAGTTCGTATACCTGCTGTCTCCTATAAAGTATCTCTGATGTTTCTTTCCAGGGCATCCTGGAAAAAGTTGGCTATTTAGTAGATCATTGGCACTTTAAAATACATCATTTTCAAAGGTCCTATAGCTTAAGGCTGGTGTCTGAAAGTATGTCTGAAAGTATGTCTCAGCCTAATGAGTACTTTAGCCAACTGCTGTGTATCCACATTTGAGAAAGGCTTTGAAATTCTATACTTGACCCATATGCAATCTTTGTGGGGGAAAAAAATGGCCCTAAGAGACAGCCAACTGCTAGTGTCAACAGTAGAATTTACAAATTTGGGAATTTGGGAAGGTCTGTGACCTGTCTCTTCTGAATGTCAGGTATCTGTTTTACTTGATTTCTTTTCCCCACTTTCCTGCCTGAGTTCTTCTTATATTCACTGCAGAACACTCACAACCATTACCCAATTTTCACAGAAATAAGCACACACATTCACATTTATGTTTTAAACAATTTTTACTACTAGTAAGTACAGGAAAAACAGAGGTTAACAAAATTAACAAATATTGGGGGAGTTACAGAGTTACAAGAAATCATAAAAGTACTAGTAAATAGTTATCCCTGGTCATCATTCAGTTACATTTGGGGCTTAACCTGCTTTCTTTTAGCTCCTCTCCTAACTCTCTTCTTAGGTGTTGGTTCCTGGGGCCTCTGCCCAATCTTATCTGTGTTGGATGATAGACCAGACTACTCAGACTCTAGCACGAGGTAGATTCACGTTGGCACCATTGCTGCGTCTGAATCCCAGGTTGTTCCCTCTGGCCCTAAGCAGAACGGCAGTTCTATTCTGCCGCCAACCTGGATCCATAACCCCCTAGGTAGGAAGGCACTTTCCTATCTGGCCTCCAGTATTTCTCCTTTGAGCTTTTAGGCCAGCTGGCTTTAACTTTTAATTACGTACTCTATCCCTTTGGAGGTTTCTCTAGTTCTGTTTCCTTGTAGCTTCACTTTCTCTCCTGGTCTTTTTTTCTCTCTGGTTAGATTTGTCTGAAGTGTGTACACTAGCCAATAATTAAGCTGGATATACTCTTAAATAAAGCTAGTTTTATTTACCTTTGTTCCAAACTATTATCTGGGCCCAGTCTTAATGTACCCCTTGGCTTCTGCCATTATCCTGGGAGACTTTCCACTTCGTCAGTTTATCCAGTAGCCATCCCTCCTTGTTTCAGAATTCTTCCCACTATGGTACTTCTCACCAAGTTTCTGTTTTTTATGGGATACCATTACTTTTCAGTTTCAGAGGGAAATGAAATGCTAAATCCATTGAAGAATTAAGCCCTTCCCAGATGAGAACACTAGCTCCTCCCATTTCCCCAGGTTCACTTTGATAACTGATAACTCAGGTGCCTCACACCCCAGGGAGTGTTTTTAACAGAATGCAATAAGTACACATTTACAATACCAAAACACACAAAACAACGATATTGAAATTACAGAAATTACATACAGTACAGGAAAACAACAACAGCAGAAAGCATTTCCACCAAGAGAGGAAGAACAGGGGAGGCTTTCCCACTCCTCTTCATTGAGTTCATTTCTTTTTAAACAGATTTTACAAATTAGCCCAGAGGTTTCAACCTTTGGTCTGCTGGCTATGGACTTTTGCTTGATGGTTTGTTTGATTTTTGTTTACAAAATTTTGGCATTTAGAGAATTTTCTTTCTTTTATGTTAAACTCAAGGGATTTCCTGATCAGTGCTAGAATGTAGTTATAAACTCTTGTCAATGCATCTTGGAGAAAAGAAATGGAATCCTGTCTCAACACTTGGACTTTTAAAATTTTGTTAGTAGTCAATTTATATTTGACCTGTCATATATCTGCTTAAAAACAAACTCCTTTCTATTCTTTAGTTTTTGTCAGAAATTCTCAAATTTTTAACCATGGCCAATCCAGCGTCTTTGCTATGTAATAAAAGAAGTGAAATACCAGGGCATAGATGGTAATAAGAATCTTTTACACATTCTTTCTTTTTTGCATTTTCCCATTGCAGATATTTCAAATTTTACCAGTTTCCTCAAAATCTATGCATTATCTCTACATGTTTCATTTCAGAAAAATATTTTTTCCCTAAAATCACAGGAAAAAAAAATAGAAATTCTTGGTTGTGATTTCCTTCAACTTCAAAACAGTATAGCATAACAGGAAGGAATATAGGTTTTATAGACAGATGAGGATTTAAATTCAGGCCCTGCTACAGACTGACTGTGATCTTGGACAAGTTAATTTGTATAAGCCTGGTAAGATTGTTATAACAATAAAATGGAATGAAATAAGTAAGGTGCTTAGCATAGTGCCACATAGTAAATACTAAGTAGAAGCTGCTATTTAATTCTGGAACTATCCACCTTCTCCCTTTACCCTCTTTAAAATCAAATCTCCCACAGTTCAAAAGACACACACAACTCCAGAAAGTTGTTCCATCAATTATTCTTTTCTTTGCTCTGTCTTCAAGCTTTCCCACTCCTCCTTACTTAATAAATGTACAAAAATCAACCGTATCTGAAAAAATTTGCTTTAATCCAACGTTAACCAAAACACCTCTCAAAGCAATTTCTTGAGACAGTTATTGACATCATGTCTCAATTTAATTAGTCCTACTATCTTTCATCCTCTAAGAATTATTCCTTTACCCAAAAAATTTTAGAAAAGCCTTCAGTGTCACATTCCTTCTTAGCATCCATTGTCATTCAACAACTTTCTATATGAATATTTATTGTACCAGTAACAATATATACTACATATGCAACATTCTACCATTATTCCCCAATTTGGACCTCTTTGATGCCTCTGCCTATTTTTTTTTTATTACATTACGTATTCAGAACCATTCTAATCCCTATATTGCTTTTACATTACATTACGTATTCAGAACCATTCTAATCCCTATATTGCTTTTACTATTGGACTACCAGGCTTTATTGTTTACTTCTCATTATCTGGAATTATTTCAACAGATGTAAATAGCTCATTTTAAAACAGTCTTTAATAGAAAATATCCATACTAAGATCAACTTTAACAGTACCTGTACGTGAGTTTCTTTTCTCTATTTTTCATTAGGAATACTGCCTGCCATATAACAATTCATAATTCTTTCATGTGTAATTCAGTCCTCAGCTTTATGCCTACAGTTCCTTAAAGTGCCATCTTAACTTAATCTACCAATAACAATCTGATGGACTCAGAACTTTTCTCTGAATGTGTAGTCTCCCATCCATTACTTTGTTCAATATTAACCATATTATCTTTTGGCCTTCTGTACTAAATTCACAACTTCAGCTAAGAAGGACTTATTTAAGAGTTTTTATTTTGACTCACCTCCACCCCCTCACTGAGATCTATATTAATGAACCTTGATGAGACTTTGCATTCCTCTAAGCAAAGCATTTAATCTGCTTTTTCACTTAAATAATAAAAACTAGGAGGATTAGAACATTACTCTTCAACTATCATTTTCCTGCCTTTCTCACTAGAATTTCAGGCTTACCTTAAAATTAATTTTCCTACCATTTGACCCAGTTTGAGATCTACCAGGATTCCCAGTCTGAGGCCACCTTATTCCCATACTCATTCATCTTGTACCTTTCTTCAAATGCTCTGAAATTTCTGTCATTCCCTTTTAAGCCATCTTTCTATCCTATTTGATGTCCCTTTTTTACCCAGTCATCGTCATCAATATCCCTAATTTTTATTGCTGACTCTATCTAAATAATCCCATCTCTCCAGAATGCAACTTTAACATTGCATACCCATACATTTTTGCTTTTTGCCTTAAAAAAAAAAAACCAAAAAAACCCTGCTCTATTGGTACCACCCAGGCCTTGTTCATTGTCTGTCCGTCATTGAAATGGATACACCAGGTGAATGTGTGTGAGCTTCCTCCTTGACCTGGTCTCAGTGCTCAAAACATTTTCCTCCCCTTAGTGTCCAACATACTCACCTGCATCCTTGGCTATCAGAAGTACTGACTTTCTGAGGACTGCTGATCAGGCTGTCCTTTCAGACTCTGCTTCACAAATTTATCTCTATATCACAATTTATTCACCTGATTCTTAACCAGTTATCAAATTATTTTCTGCTGAGCTTTCAGGTAGCCACCAAATTCCCTAACAATTTCTTTTGATACACTTTTTGTGTTTCCTTGGGATCAAGTTTAAATGGGTAACACTACTCATCTTACTAACTCTAACTTTTTTTTTTTTTTTGTCTTTTGTCTTTTTCCGTGTCCGGCAACGGATCGCAACCCTCAGTGTTGCCCCCGTACCGGACCGGGGACCGGCAACGGGATCGCAACCCTCGGTGTTGCTCCCGCGCCTCACTCAGCCAGTGAGCGGAAACCGGTCTGTATGTGGGATCTGAACCCTCGGGCGGGAGCGCCGCCGCACTTCCCAAGCGGCGCACTATCCAGTGCGCCACCGGGCCGGCCCTAAATTGATTAACTTTT